TATTTGTTGTGTTGATGGCTCCATGTTTGTAGTCCCTCCCTGTGTTGGGTTAATGGCTCCATGTATGTAGTTCCTCCCTGTGTGTATGTGTTGTGTTGATGGCTCCATGTTTGTAGTTCCTCCCTGTGTGTATGTGTTGCGTTGATGGCTCCATGTTTGTAGTTCCTCCCTGTGTGTATGTGTTGTGTTGATTGTTGCTCCTCTTTGTGCTCCTCCTGCAGGTCAGCCCTACAACCAGCTGGCCATCCTGGCCTCCTCTAAAGGAGACCACCTCACCACCATCTTCTACTACTGCCGCAGCATCGCTGTCAAGTTCCCTTTCCCAGCAGCCTCCACCAACCTGCAGAAGGCTCTGTCCAAGGCTCTGGAGAGGTAACGGAGGGTTTTATTCATAGGAAACAAGAAGAAGAAAACAAGAAGAAATAAACAAGAAATAGGAAACCAAAAATAGGGAACAAGAAGGAAACAAAAAATAGGAAACAAGAAGGAAAGTACTAAGAAAGTACCGATAGCAGAACCAGTAAATCTGGACCACATTCATACTAACTGGTTTTTACTCCTTTAGAACTGAGTCCCTAGTTCCCTCTGAGAGGAAATAAAGCCTTCTAGATGTTTTATCCCTGTGATGTTGTTCTTCACTATCAAATCCTCCGTGTTTCTGCAGCCGCGATGAGGTGAAAGCCAAGTGGAGTGTGTCGGATTTCATCCGGGCCTTCATCAAGTTTCACGGTCACGTCTACCTGAGCAAGAGTCTGGACAAGCTGGACGTCCTGAGGGAGAAACTGGAGGAGCAGTTTCAGGTGAAACACTTTCCACACAGGTTTTATTCCTGCATGCAGTGAGATCTTTAAAAGGAATTGTTTGATGACCCGGCTTGTGTGTGTGTGCAGAGGCTGATCCTGCAGAAGGCATTCAGTTCTCAGCAGCTGGTCCACATCACCGTCATCAACCTGTTTGAGCTCCACCACCTCAGAGACCTGACCGCCGACGGTGGAGAACAGAGCTACAGCAGCGAGCAGCAGGTCAGCTGGTTCCAGCTGCTCGGACTCTTCAGTAAGAACCAACAACACTCATCATACCACTGTAATATCAGCTGAAGTTCTGCAGGTCTGCTGAGATAAACCCGGACTACAAACCAACTGCTCTATTAGGGCTGGGCAGTATACCGGTTCAACCGTTATACCGGTTTTAATTTCCCGTATGATATGAATTTTTCATATACCATCATACCGGTGCACAGCCGAAACAACTTCTGTCACTCTTCAACAGGCAGCAACATATATTGTTCACCGCTGAGAGCGCTGCAGTCGGAGCTAGTTGTCTTAGCTGTATTGAGAGGGAACCCTAGTCATGGTCATAACTTTATAACAACAACTAACGCTCTTTAACAGGGCAAAACACCACGACACAACAGTTTGTGACAGATAAACAATTTGTAACAATAATAATTGTACATTTATAAAATGTCTCCGCCGAACTGCATGCTGGGTAACGTTACATTAAAGAACAGAACAGAGCGATGCAGGATGAACACAGACTGAACAACAAAAGGTATTTTGCTCAGACACACATGCAACGCTGATTACCGTAATATGTGTGGTATTTGTTATAAATGTACGTTGGTACATGGAGGGTGATAAGAAGCTGTACATGGAGGGACTTAGGACCCAGGGGAATGTAGGTGAAGGAAACAGGAAGAAACGGAAGACACGCCACACAAACAGCTGTGCGCAGGTCGGCCGGTTGGCCGGTTGTTCTTTTCGGCGTTAATTAATTAATGCTTTAACGCGGGGAAAAAAATACCGGCAGAATCTTACAAAATACCGTGATATGCATTTTTGGTCATCCCGCCCAGCCAGGTAACGTTGCTGCTAGTTTAGTTAATGGTTCATCACTGTTTACATCTGTGTGTGTGTGTGTGTGCTGTAAGCAGGACTCCAGATGTTTGATGTGTGTTTGGTTTGTATGAGGAGACAGATGTTCATGGTGTTTGACTTCCCCTCAGTGTCCTTCCTGGGTGTCATGTGCAGCCGTGCTCTGCTCAACAAGAACCGAGGAGAGGAGATCATGGGGGAGTGTCCTCTGCCGGCCATTAAAGTGTCTCTGGACTGGCTGAAGCTGAGACCCAGCGTCTTCCCCGAGGCCGCCGTGGACCAGAGGCAGCAGTAAGTCTTCTGTCTCGTTGTCTAAATGTTGTTTTGATTGTTACTGGACAGGAAGTTTAACTCCTCATTCCCACTCTCTCAGTATCTGGCCCTGGCTGGTCTCCATCCTCAACAGTTTCCAGCCCAAAGAGGACGACGTGTCCTGTTCCTCAGGTAGGACGCCCTCTGGTATTGATTCTTTATCAGTGATCCATGTGAGCTCTGGTCTGAGTCGTCTTCAGGTTAATCAGGTTTTATGATAGTGGACAACAAGTCCAGGAACCAAAGCTTCTATGTTGGATTTAGTCTTTGTAGCCTGTCGTCTCTTCAGAATAGAAGCTGCTCTCCCTGTGAACGTCATCGCAGGAAGCTTCTCACATGTCTGCACACTGAATCAGTGATCACTGACCCTGAACAGGAAGCTTCTTAACCAAAGCTCCCTGGAGAAATGCACAAATATAGGAGGAAGAGCATTAATGGTCCAGTTGAAAAAGTTGAGAAAGACATTTATAAATGTGTCTTGCAGTGTTTTTCAGATGTGTCCACATTGTTATAGTCCTGTAATGTTTGGATGTCAGATCTTCAAGCTGTATGAAGCTCAAGGTTTGTTTATTTTCTCCACAGCGACACCCCTTCCAGAGGAGTTTGAGCTGCAGGGTTTCCTGGCGCTCCGGCCTGCTCTGAGGTACTCCCTCCTTCAATTAAGTCCTGGGATGAGGGTTGATCGGTGGGATGCGGGTTGATCGGTGGGATGCGGGTTGATCGGTGGGATGCGGGTTGAACGGTGGGATGCGGGTTGATCGGTGGGATGCGGGTTGAACGGTGGGATGCGGGTCGGTGAATCAGTCAGAATGTTTTCATGTTTTGATGACTGCTGGGGTTTCAGGTCCCTGGACTTCACTAAAGGTCATCAGGGCATCCTGGTGGACAGGGACGGCCTGCCGGTCCACACTCGACATCAGAGACTCATCAGTTTGGGCAAATGGGTGGCTGACAACCAGCCAGGGTGAGTGTCCATCTGCTCCGTCACAGTGAAAGACAAACTAACTCGGGGACCATGATGGACACAAGTCCTGTGACTTCTTTGTGTTGGATTCAGGAGACAAACCTCTGGTTTTTTGAAGTGAAGCCAAAGCTTCATGTGTTAAAGCAGCATTCTCTCTAGTGTCCACCAGGGGGCGACTCCTCTGGTTGTATAGAAGTCTATGAGAAAATGACTCTACTTCTCTCTTGATTTATTACCTCAGTAAACATTGTAAACATGAGTTTATGGTCTCAATCTCTAGTTTCAAGTCTTCTTCAATACAGCATGATGTTGTCCGTCTCCTCTCTACAGGCTGATCCAGTGCAGGGTGAGCGAAGACGGTCTCCTCGTCTTCATCACCGACATTCCAGAGCAGGCGGTCGAGGAGCCCCAGGAGAAGGAGGCACCGGTGCTGCAGGAGTCGTCCAACGCCGAGCAGCTTCCCAACGACGGCGGGAACTCCGGCCTGAAGTCGGTGCTGTCGGCGGGGAAGAGCTCGCAGAGCTCGTGGCCCGACGGCGGCGAGCGACCCGTCGTCACCTTCAAGGAGAACATCAAACCCCGAGAGCCGGCACGCAGCAATCACCTGAAGGACAGCGGCAAGGAGCGCCGGGACTTCGCCAAGGGCAACGGGGCTCCTGGGAAAGGAGAGCTGAAGAGGGATGGGAAGAGGAAGAGCGACCTGAAGAAGACCAGCCACGAGAAAAGTGCTGACGCTGGAAAACAGGTAGAGATGTGGGAACGGTTCACAGAGGGAGGAGCTCATTTAGACCTTGTGGTGATGATGATGATGATGATGTCGGACTTGTTTTCTCTCTTTCAGGTGAAGGCGCAGACGGAGCTGAGGAAGACTCCGGTGTCTGAGGCCAAGAAGAGTCCCGTCACTCAGACTACCTGCTCCTCCCAGTTCATCCCAATCCATCATCCTGGAGCCTTCCCACCACTGCCCAGCAGACCTGGTACACACACACACACACACACACACACACACACACACACACACACACTTTCACAGATTTGATGTCACATGACTGTTGGTCTCAGATAAATCAATCATGACTTCATCGTTTCACTGAGGAGCTCGCACTTTAATGTTTTTACTAGTGCTGGCCAACGATTAACATGTTTAATCACGATTAATCTCATTGTTATGGTAAAGTTCAATAATGAATTATAAAGTAGTGTATTGTGCACTTTTATTTTAAAGTGCTGCTCTATGAACTAAAGGTGAATAACATTGCATCAGGTTGTTGTTAGCAGCAGTGTTCTCTTCACACAGCAGCAGTTCTATCTCTTCACTATCTGTGCTCAGTGTGTGACTGTGTGTGAAACGTTCCACTGCTGTGCAACAGGAACAACATGTTCCACACGTTCCATCTACATGTGTGTGTTGTGTCTTCATGACAGTCAGAGCATGTGATGCAGCTCTTCTCTTCATCACTATGATGCTGTAACTCAGAGGCGATGAAGGTGACCC